GTTCAAGTCCCAAAGTCAGGCCAAAGCCTGACCCTCTGTCAAATATTTGAGCAAGATATTTCTGGCACTGTTCGTGTTCTGATCCATCTCCACTTCATACGAATCACATTTGAATATTTTTGATCCTCTGAGGTCATTCTTCATAAACTCACAACATCCACATATCTTGGACGTGTATTCCTCAGTGTACTTGATGATCTTGCAAATGCAGAACTTCCTTGTCTTATGTTGTAAGAATATCCAGAACCTGAAATACGACCAAGTCAGTATTGCGCAAGCAGTTTTCGACTGAATCTTTCTCTTATTCTTTAAAATCATTCTCAAAGATTCGAATTTAGGTAACAAGATGATCTTGTAATTCATGCACAACCATCTCGTGAGCTGATGATGGCACTCATCTATTAAATAATGGATTCATTATATAACTCACAATATTTTTTTTTTAATCTAAAACTTTTTTTCTTGTTTGTTCACCCTAATACAAAATCCTTGTCACTCTGTAATTTGTCATATTTCTTGAATAGTTTGAATATTTTGTTGAGATTACTATTACCTCCACTTGATTAATTGACCATCAGGATTATAACTGGTCATAAACGTATGAACATCTGGATTGAGTGAGATTACCTTTCCCCAAACATCATCTTGGTTATCAATAATGTCTAGAGGAACGGAAATACACAAGTAAAAATATCCTAGGTGATTCATAGTAATGTTCACCATGTTATTAACCTTTAGTGATTATTCTGAAGTAACGATATCCTTTAGAAACGCATATTCTCCTCTGTTCCTATTCCAATCTCTAGCAAGAATCAAGATGATTTGTATTCAATCCTTCTTTAATTGGTACTTCATTTGAAAATTATTTCTATGCAACTTCTTGTTTGTTTTATATGTGCTTATTAATTGTCTGATCATGTATGAATGTACTTTTCTAGGAGTCTCTTTTACCCATAAAAGTTCTTTAGTTATGAAATATTTATTGTTTAGGTAATGTCTTCGTATAACACTCATGTCAATGATCTCATCATCCTGTACCATCTTAAGAACTTTATTATATGTTCACCTTGTGGTTCCCATCCACTTTCTTAGCTTTTCTCTTTCTTCGGGCATTGGATAAATCCGTATCTTTCTTGTTTTCAATCTCTCTTCATCATTTTCGATTTTCAGCTGATCTGAGTCTATTATGTCTTGCTGTAAAGATAGTAATGATTGATAATAGATTCTCAGTAAGCTCACCAGATTCAATATCATCAACGTTAATGTCTGAACCAAGTACCACGATCTTTGTATCGTGTTTACTAAAGATCCATTCGACCAGTTCAAAAGCGAAATAGCAGAGATAGTCCTTGTGGGTAACCACAACCTTCTCAATATCTCTTTGGTATGATCATTCCAAAATGGACATAAAACCTTTGTGTTTCCAGTTAAGACCTGATCTGATATCCTTGATGAGTTCGTGGTCTGGACATTTTTGCCTGAGGTACTCACATTATTGCAGTTTTTGGAATAAGATGACAATGATAACAAATGCGTCAGTGAAAAATGAGAGACCCATGAATTTCCTCCACAAATTTCTTTAATATTATCGATCACTTCGCTATATAAAATAACAGATAAAAATATTATTAACATATAAAGATCTTTGAATAAATAACATTTAGAGTTCACTGTTTACTTTTCCAATTGAAATCCTTTAGCATTCTTATCCGTTTTGCTAAAAGGGTGACTCCGCCATAAGCAATTGCAAATATCCATCACAAATGAATTGAAATGATTCACGTAGCTTCGATTATGACGAGGCATTCCGAGCTGAATAGCGCTTTTTTCCCGTTTATCAAAGGCCAATTTATAACTTAAAAAGATGATTACAAAATTTTAGATCATAGTTAGATTCGGTCAAATCATCAACGAGGAAATATGCAGGGTCGACTTACTGTAAGATGATTTCACAAACTCTTGATAATGCCATGCCAGAGGAGGAAAAGAAACAACGATAGATAATTGACGAAGAAGGCATTACTAACTTATCCCAATTATTTTCTATTTGTAGCGAGATCACACGTTCATAAAGCGATAGAACTGCATGTTGAACCGTTATATCATCATTTTCCACCTATTGATATAGCAACGAACATTAAAATAATAATGCTTAATAATATTGGTCTGAAAGACATTAGTGATACCTCTAAAGCAACGATTGAGATATCGTCACAGTATAATATAAATTTCTGTATGCTTTCCATGTAATCAACGTCAGGGTCCAATTGTCCAAAAATACTTGTAATCGAAAAAACTTTATTACATTTATCAATACAATATCAAAACGAAGACAAAGCTTATCACTTACAAATGATTGGTAGAATCATTGGTTTGATCCAGGGATTCTCTACTATCACTTTTTATCGCTATCAGCGAAGCCCAATATCGAAGCAATGTTGCATAACATAGTATTAATTTTGCCTGGACATCACAGATAAAATTGAAAAATTAATAATGGTGCTTTTCTTTACACAATAGGGCATCCCTCCAAATTGATAATAAAATATCTAACCTACCTTCCAATCTGCTGACGATACAGAAAAGAGTCTATGCAAATGAAACAAAAAATCTCGGTATAAATCTTTGAAATATAAATAAATATTAATATAATAAAACTGTTAACGAATTGGAGAGAAATAAAAGATTTCAGCTAACCATTAAACGCTTGCGGTTTTATATAGGTTAATAGCCTGAAGATTAGATCTCGATTCTGTTCACCGTCCCAGGTTATAATAAATTTTTTGAGGAAATCTTCAAAAATAGGAAGTAATTCCTATATAATATATTAATTAGTATTGAAAAAACAGTAGCTTTATTTTGCACAAATTAGATTTTTTAATAATAAATTAGTTACCTTTATAAATTCAGTCATTACAATAAGCTTTTCTAATAAATTCGTTAGACGACTTTTTGTCTCTATATTTTGATCACTCCAATACGTCAATTCCAAAAGGCATTGTGATAACCAATTAGTTATTCGCATCAAAGTGATCCCTAATTCAAAGAAGTAGTTAAAATTCACAAAAAATCAAAATATAAAAGATCACAATCTTTTATGAGAGCCTACTTTCGGGATTGCAAATAAGTATATGCTGCAACATCCGATTGTCTAGAGCAGATGCTAGTTGATCGGGTAATTCAAGTTTGTCAATCTTAGAAGCGAGCTGCTTAAAGTTGATAACATCTTTGATGGTAGCTGATTTCTGGATAATAAATAAATTTTTCGGTCAATCCAACCATGATTTTTGTATTATCAAAATTTTTAAAATTAAACTTGCAGAAATTACTTTGGTCACGTTTGAGGTTTCAGCCTTCGGAATTATTATTTCGTTGACTTTTCTTCTTTTCACCTTTTATACAGCACTAATTAGATATATTATTGGTAATCAAGTATGTATCTTTAAGCATTAGAAAAGGATATTCGTACATTCAATGGAGGATTAAGCGAACTTTCAATAGACAAGTCATTTAACGCATTCCATCTTCTTTGTACTTGTAATATAAGTAACTGCAAGGCGGAATCGGGACACTAAATCAAATATGTTATAATTAATAAACATTGTTGAAACAAAATTTTGAAATTTGACTAAAAGTTCTTACTTTGAATATCGCTTTTCGTGTCGAAGGAATCGAAACCATAACATAATTTGGATAATAATCCTTATAAATTCTTATTAGCCCAATAAGATTAGGTTCATTTCCAAATCTACCAAGTAAATTTATTCTAAAGATCAAAACGTGTCAAGTTAATAAGCAACAATGTACGCGTATACATACATATAAATATATGATACTTTGAAAAATCAGTAAATCGAGAAAAATACATTTTTCGTACTCGATATAATTTTACATGTTCCCGGCGTGTCATGAAATATAATAAGTGGCATAGCAAAGGTCTAAGAATAAATTCATTATATTATATATTCATTTTAACTGCAAGATTATGGGTAAAGACGTTATCATGTTATTGTTAATTTCTTTTATTACCGTAAACCCTGGTATTCCAAGAAATGAAAAATCACACCATATAGTTTTTGTAGCCTTGAATAATCCTCCAATAATGGATAAACGAGAATAATCCAACGGAGCAGTAATCCCTTTATTTCAAAAATCAGTCCTAGTTAGTCAAGAAATATAAATTAAAAAGAGCGATTTTTATTTTCGAACATAGAATAATAAACAAATTAAAAATTCTTATTTTTCCCACCAAGTATTATACTACCTGAATCGAATGAATAACCAACTCATGCCCTAATTTTCCTAATATTTTTATCACAAGATTTTCGGAAATTTTTTGTCGTGGGATAAGTAATTTGATGATCCGTTTGGTATCCGCAACATCTAGAAATATTTTAATTACTTAATCGGAAAATATTTTACAAGCCAACCAATTACACACGTCAGAATTGAATTTATGGGAAACTCACCAAGTTTTGCACTAAATACTAGATTCAAAAGATCTGACAGTTGTTCTTCTTCCAATCCATGCCAATGAACCAATTTTTCGAGTTCATTAATGTGAATTTTTATTTCAGACCTTTTAGCTTTATTGCCCGAATCTACCACCAAAACAAGAAGTATTTATAAGAAACTTCAAAGAGAATATATAAAGACCAATAATGCAATTTAAAGAAAAATTTATATATGCATACGTTGTGTTATAAGAGTTATCTTTTCATTAATTGATTTCTCAGAGAAAGCACTTTGATGGATAGAAGTAGAGTTTTGAGATTCTTTATCAACTTCGTTTTCCCTCGTTCTTCGAAGGGCTACGAAAATCAACAGTTATTTGTCTGATCAACAAATGGTAGATAGACATGGAGACTTAAAAGAGCAAACGCATCATATAATAACCTTCAGAACTTTCTTGAATCCCTTCCATTAACTCTCGAGTACGTAAAATTACAAACACGAATTTAAAAAGCCATATCACGCACGTGATTACAAATTTTTGAGACGCGATAAAATAATACGGTTGGTAAACAATGCAATATTAATAATTAAATCTCTATTTGCTATTTATTTTACTGATTGTTATTTTTAATTA